AAGAGACGGAGAGAGGAAGGGTTTAATACGAATATACGATTATTTTGTGTCGGACGCGCCACGCCGGACTTTTGACAACCGATCCCCGTTCGTTCACTTTCACGTCGAATATCGCGCTGTCGATCGGCGATCATCAGAAATTGGGGCCTCTACATCCGCGAGGTGCTGACGCAAAGGTGGCTCGTAATTAACCGAGCACGACGTTTTTTTTTTTTGTTATATCTATATTCGTGGGCCTCTAGATTATCATATCAAACACATAATTATGTACATGTACTTTCTCATCGCTAGGCGGGTGCCGATGGTGATTGTATAGAAGCATAGCCTATTGCTGCGGGTATATGTAATGTATAATGCGGCGGAAAAAAGTAAAAGCTGAATGTTTGTAATAAACCAACGAGCCAATCAGCGTACAGCTCCTCCGTCCAATTAACCTCGTCAGCCCCGCTCCCGGTCCTCGCGAGATATCGACAGAACGGCAGTCGATTGATTAAATCAGCAATCCGATTCTCGCGTGATGCCACAAATTATTCGAAAACCTACGATGCAATAAATATCTCGGCAAGGAAAGAAACGATTGATTTAATGCACTGCTCAAAGATATACGTACTAGATCAGTTTTAAGGCAAAAATTGTGGGATCTATAATTTCTGAAATATTTTATTAATATTTCCAGTCGTTCTTTAAAGTGCCATTATATTTTTATTTATAGAGTGTTTTTTTTTTTAAGAATTTATCGTAACACGAATGGTGTTACTTTTTTGTTAATTCTTTACTATCACGGAGATCTTATTCAATAACTGTGTTAATTAAACACTGGCGACAAAGAGAGGGTCGACTTCTTTCTATCGAGTCTCGCGGAAAACCGGATGGGAAATCGTCGAGGCTGATTCGTGGTGCGAATCACGTGGACGTGAGCTCGCGCGTTCGCCAGGGCGGGTTACCTTAAAAATAAGTTCGCTTTTGCTGAAACCGGACTTCTTTTTAGTCATATTGTCAGAACTTAGGCGCCCCCTCCGCTCAGTGCGTTTTTTTTGTAGGTTCTGCAATATCTAGAAACAAAAGAAAGCGGGACATAGCCAGACGTAGTAAGAAGAGGTTAATAGAAATTCTGTAGAGGTTAATAGAAATTTTACAGAGAGGAGGTAGAAATAGTGTCAGAAAGAGTGTAAGAAAAAAATAGGAAACAGAGATAGAAAGAAACGGAATTGAAAGTAACAGTAAGGAGGACGGGAGAGAAAACGTCGGTATAATTAGGCAGTTTTATATATGTATTAATTGACAGAGAGAAAATTTGCAAGATGGTATGGTGGTAAAGTAGCGAAAAGTAAGACGGGAGTAGTATAGGAGGTAGTACAGGAGATTGTCGGGTGGTCGCAGGATCGATTTTCTTTTTCTCGTCTCTCGTGAGGTCAGAAATTTTCGTGTGCGATACACTGTAGCCACATTACACAACGAACGCTGAAAGGCAATCCCATCCCTAAAGTTTCATCCTTTCGCTATAGTAATATGAAGCATATTCGGATCGCGGAATCCGCCAGCAGATGCGCAAAAGTAGTAATCGACGTCACTGTAAACATTTTTAACGGTGACATCCACTGAATCAGGCCGTACGTACAATCACGTGTGAATCACGTTAGTTTATCTATTTAACGACGAAATAAATTAAGAAAAAAAATGTAGAGAAAGATGATATATAATATTTACATAGATATAAGGTGTTAGTACCTCTCATTTTCCATCCTCCCTCCTGAACGCTAGTACTGGCACATACACAAGCACATAAACAGAGTAAATAATTACACCAGGTGTCAGTATATCGGTGTTGGTGCGAACGTTCTCGTTTCGCCGGCGAGTGTTGACCGCCGTAATTTGAGTATCAAACGATCGATCGTTCGATCGATCGTATGGATGATGAGAGATCGGTTAAAGTGTGAGTTGCGGGGCGTAAATATATAAAAGAACGATTTTCGGTGATGTGAGCGACTGTGTGCACGCAAAAGTATAATCGGCAAGGTACACGGCACGATAACGAAGAATAACAGTCCGATAATCCGTGAATTAGGTAATTAGTAATCAACAAGCCATTCGAATATCAAAGCTATCGAATTAGCAGTCGCGCGCCAAGCGTGAAGCCGCAATTCCTTTTCAAGCTCGAATGAAGCTCGATGAATTAATTAGCGGTTCTGTATATATGTGGTATCGTCGTGGATTTACAGACTGAGTAAAAAACCGCGCGATTAACTTGCAAAGCCATGTAACTTGATCCTGGGCGTGTCTGTAGAGCTATTGAAGTAATTCAGCACGCGAACGTAATTGACTTCGCGACACTGTCGATATTATCTTTCATGCAAATTCTATGTCATTGTTTCGATTTAAACCAGCCACCAAAATTTGTAATGTACGCCGAAGAGAATTTGATAGTTTTCCATATATGGGAGAGGCTGCTCATTTCGTCTTGAATTAACACTTTACTAATTTACTAATTTAATCGAGTAGGATATTAATTGAAGAAAGGCTAAAAAAAGAAGAAAAGTGCACATTAATTTACGTTTGAAGGAACAAAAATTATTTTGAGTGTTGGTGATACAATACATAATAAATATTGTCTTGACTTATGAAATTCATATTGATGAAAAAGAGAGAGAGAGAGAGAGAGAGAGAGAGAGAGAGAGAGAAGAAAGAGAAAAAGAGAGAGAAAAATCTGCAAATGTGATAACTGTGGAATATAAAAATTCTGCTTTTCCCGGGGCAATGTGCGCGCATCGCTGCTCTGCTGAAAGAAACAGTCTGTGACGAGATAAACATTGACAAAAGGAGAATCGCTCCCATCTTTCTGAAAAATTCCATGCAAAAGTCACGAAAAGGCAGAAGAAACTTGAAAATTATCCGTTAAGAGATTACCGCATGTATGTAGTTCGAAGTGAAAGAACATCGTACATGGTCGCACATCGAGATTATAAATACATAGTCGAAGTAAGACAAGAATATATTCACATTAATCGCGATGTCTTACAACACTTCTTCTTTGACGCGTCTTTACATTTTATGTATACATCTCGGTAATTGTGCGCGACAAGAAACGCGCGATTTGCCAAGTACGTGTCGCGAAAATCACGCGGACGTACAATCGCGCGTTTCTGCATGACAGTCATGATTTATCGTCTCTTAATATGCGTATACACGCGAGTACGTTTTAATTTGCCACGTTGAATGCAACCAGCCCCGACCATTATCGCGGCGGTTTGCTACTGTGCGGCTGTTAACTCTAATGTGCGTGCTCACAAAGGCACTCGTGTTTGTTATCTGATTTAATTACGATGTAAAGGGAAACAGGGTGTATACGTGCCACGGGCGGAAAGCTTTTGCACTCGTTACAAAGAGCACTGCGTTTTGCTGTTTTTTTTTCTAATTAATTAATTCATTAATTAATAAGAACAAAGGGTGGAATTTTTGAACGCGTTGTTGATTCGTTAAGAAGGTAATACGCACGTATATGAAGAAACCGTTTGTCTCGCTGAAATTTGGTGACATAATCGATAAATCACATTTTTATAATATACAGAAAACAAAACATTTTTATAATATATATAAAAAACAAACAAAATTAATGTAATACAAATCACACAATGAAAAGTTAATGTTGAATAAATAAGGTAGAAAATTTGCGATCACACAATCTGTTGTTTTACCTGTTATCTTTTTTATCTTCTTTTATTCATTTGAACGTGATATTTATTTTTATCTATATGAATCCTATATATGTACTATATTATGTACTATATTTTTTTATATTTCAGTGGTAAAAGTGTTTCATTAAACAATAACTAAGAGAAATTAAAAACTTTTAGAATTAAATTGGTTTCAACTTAAAACAATATATCAATATAAAAAAAACTCTCATCTTTCTCTATACATCTTGTACCTTGCTTTTTTAAGACAGATGACAAGCTTTAATATATTAGGGCAATCGTAACTTTAATTCCTCAGATTGACATTTGTTGTTCATTCAAATCTAATGCATGACAAATTTCTTTCGGCGAACAATACGAAAAATATTGCACATTAAAAGAAGACACATAGAACAAGAATCGTCTCTTTCAGATCGAGTCTGCGCGATTAATCGACTGTTCTCTCCTTATTTCCTGTCTCTCTTCGCGAAAAATGGAATGCACACATGAATGGCAGTACATTATGATGTACGTTTATATATATAGATACACATATGTATTCCAGAAAATGTTACACTTTGCTTTTTAGGAATCAACACGTAAGAAGCATCTCTCTCGTGGAAAATTTTCCTCTCGTTGCACAATCGAATCGAGACGAGACTGCGTCATTGGTGATTCGCCGTGCGATCGCGAAGAGGAGCAGCAATTCTCGAGACAAGAGCGGAGACACGAAAAGACGCACGCGAAAGAGAGGAAACGTCATATCCGCTACGTGTATATCGGGTGGCGAGATGGTTAAAAGATCGCACGCTGTCGCGTACTTCTCTCGCTCCTGTTGCGGAGGCCAGGGTGGATATCTAATGACCGTTTCCGATCTACGGCGGAAAAAGATCTACGCTGGAAAATATCGTCGATAATATTATAATATAAACGTGCTCCTGAGAGAAAGAGAGAGAGAGAGAGAAAGAGAAAAAGAGAGAACAAACGAACAAAAATATGATGATATACGGATACATACGTGGGCAGAGGAAAGTACCGACGGCGTCTGCGTAATTGTACTCTCCGTCCTGGCGGAAGTAAAATGTGAAAATGAAATAAAAAGAAACGAAATCGGAATCGCTTCCTCCTCGTTAAATCAGGCATATCTAGACAACACGAAACAACAGGCAATCAGAACGGAACGCGAATGAGGGAGGGACGAAATAATCGGTGGGACTGTGGGGTGCTCGCTAGAAGTTTATCTCGAGGGAAGGAACAAGGAGAGGAGTAAATTTTCGGGAGTAAATAAAACTGGGAACACACACTGAACACGGGCACATCGCCAAGAATTTTGGACAAATAGGGTTAATTAACACCTAACACTCACAGGCAGACCTACGGTTAGACCAACCAACTTTCTCGTCTGTTGAGTGGTTCGTGTCGAATACCTCGCAGAAATTCTCCATCAGGCTTACTCTCGCATGTTATATAAGAATTTTAAAAGACATTTCCTGTTTCATAATCACGCGCTGATTCGATTTTGCGGTGATAAGATTCACGACAAACGAACTCTCGGCTCTTCATCGTCACCGTGACCTCATGCGCTACCATTGTCAAAAAATGGTGCATCCGTCAAAAAATGTATATACTATCAGTACATTTACATGCACACGTATCTAGATTATGCAAACCGTCACTGTAAGAACGTCGATAATCGCTATTGACTCATACGGTAATGTACATGCGCATCTATGTCGTATCAGGCCAATAAAGTTATGCGGCTTATGGGGCCGGCGATAATCGAGAGCCGAGAAATTCGAGGTGAACGTTTCAACGGCGATCGGCACGAACGTCGGCCGTTCCTGCGATCGCGCGATCGAATATTCGACACGACACCAGTTCACAATGACTATTCGTGTAACCAAACTCATGTTAGTACCTAGCAGAACGGAACTTTCCAACAAAACCCGACAAAAACAAGGTAGCATCTCATACCAAAAAACTGTTCTCAAGAACTTTGGCGAGGGATCAGCTAGTCGGTGAAACATGGATTTTAACAATATAGTTATAGAAAAACATCGTCACTAAGATATAATACTGCAAGCATTATCATTCTCCATCGATCAATACATACTGAATTCTTCTCAGCTAATATCGCATCTTCTAATCTGTGATCCATGTCACACGTCGCATCGCCAGGACTACGGGACTAAGGGCAAGACTGATCAAGAGCTTGTTGAAGTGTTCTACGCAGTGAAAGCTATTTGACTTCCGTGAAAATTACAGTTACGTTTAGTTCTGTATGAAATATAAAGTTATACTGTAACTTCATTAATTTCAAACCAAATTAATTTCAACCAGAATGACATTCCAATAATTCCGTTACCTTACGAGAGATCAATTAATTAAAGTATAAGACCTTTTCCGCTTTGCCTGTTCGAGTTTGTAGTGTTCAGACTTTAACGAAGTTGCGCGACAAGGAAGGAGTTCAATTACTCCGTAAGTCTGTCATAAGCTTTTAACATTTGATCAAATGGTAGGCATAGTCTTTTCTCTTTTACTCGATCGACTTTTTACAGAACATGGAACTCCCCGACAATGTTAAAGCTCTTGATCGGCTCTGCTACAATTCACAAACTGGGTCTAAGTATGTCGGGTGTGTTATATGTGTAAAAAGAAAAATAACTTCTCGTACCGGAGACTGTAAATTACACGACAAGACTATGCACGTTCTCTATGAAACTCAAAATGAAAAACGAGAGATAGGTGACCACAAACGAAAACGGCAACGGTAATCAGAATAATCGTAATCAATGAGTAACAACGAAAGAAACGACAGTAGTGAGTAATAATGATCTAGCGTATATAGATATATTTATAGAAACACATTGAGTTTTGTGTTAACGAACGCTTGAATCAAGTAAGGGCAATTGGCCTTGGTTTCAGGGTAACTAGGCAGGCACACCTTGCTGGTTCGGTCTGGTTGGGGCGGTGTCGCCCGACGCTCGTAGTGCCTCTCCGGCTGTTGATAAAGGGGGATCTGCAAACCCATTCGGAAACGTGTTCTCGCAGTACGCTAGTAGTCGATTTGTATATATTGTTTTCTTTGTACTCGTGTGTGTATGTCTGAGAATTAAAAGATTCCTGTGCGTGTTAGTGTGTATGCATGTGGATGTACAGGTAAGATTGTATTTTATCCATACAACAGTGATGATATGAAAAATTGTGTGATGCCTACCCTCTAAATTTCTTAGAGTGAAATCTCACTCCGAAAAAGTTAAAATACTAATCACTATTGAAAAGAGTGAAAATATTTGTACTCTTAAATAAGAGTGGCAAATTTTTTTGGAGTGAGATTCATTAAAAAAAAGAATGAGATTTCTTTTCTTTGGAGTCTCACTCTGAAAGGGTGCAATTCACTTCAAACAGGAGTGAATATCTGCCCCTCTTATTCAAGAATGCAAATATTTTCACTTTTTTTCAATAGTGGCAGTATTTTTACTTTTTTGAAGTGAGATTTTATTTCAAGAAATTTAGAGAGTATTCTACAATTGCGTAGGCGTGGTTAGATTAAATGGTCGTAAGAATTAACCAATCACATATCGAATATTTGCCTCAAATTTGACTGTGATTGGTCAATTCTTACAGTTACTACTTACAACTACGCTTACGCAATTATAAAATGGATTTAATACTTAGGAAAGATATGAGGATCGTTATATTGTGTTTCACTTGATTATTTAAGAAAGTAAGTAGATGTAAGAAGATGACAATATTTTTCGATTAGACGATTTAGGATCCTCGTAAGATATAATGTTGTGTAGAGTGGCGTGATAATCACACATGTGCTTATGGTATCTTCGTTTTCAGAATGTATTGTATATGTATATCTACTCGGTATAAAGATTTTTCGCTGCTACAGATTAATGGATAAATTGTCGGCTCTGTTCTCGCATTGAAACGGTGGAGGGATAAACATAATTGTATATGTGTATGTGTATTATGAAAGACAACCATCTGATTTGTTATATATCAATGTTGATGTCTGATAATAAATACGAAAACTTGAAATAAAAAATTGTAAGTGCTGTTTCTTTACACACAGTGTATTTGTATATTTTTTGAATAAATTAAATATTTTGTGAAAAGCAATTTTTATTTATTTTGCACTTACAGTCTTTTTATGCCAAGCTTGCATTTTTTTCTATACAGCAAAGTATATAAAACGACGAATTAGCCAATAATTAGCATTAGTTTAAATTAAAATAATTTCACTACAAATATAACAGCCCGTATATTTTATAGTCTGCCCATTGAAGAGATGATAATCAGCTTTGATTGAATAATCATGCGAAATGATTTATAAATTAACTACCAGTGCGCATTTTCTTAATGCGATATGTGATATACAGTGAAAGTTTATTCCTCGCGCTTCGAAAATAAGTATGACAACGATATTAGTAACAACGAAGAAGAGAAGATGAATGGAAAGTATTTGGCTAAGTTTCATCTTAAATGGATCTACATTTTCAATTATCCTTCTATTAGCGTCTATGAATAGTGGCGCCACAAATTACTATTTTCGTTGTCGTTGGCATACTTTCAAAGTCCATTAAATTTTCACCGAAGACGGTATAAGAACTGATTTAATTTTGCGTTAATTAATTGAGAAAACATTTTATCCCCAATTTAAGGAAAACGATTTAACGTGAATTCGACAAAGAAAGAGAATACGGGGTAGCGATTCTCGACATCGTATTCGGTCGCATTGTGGTCGGTACGTTTGCCTCGCGCATTTCTTCGCTGCTATTTGACAAACTATAGTTAATTTGTTCAAACGATATCGATACCCGGATGCGTGACGAATCTATTGCACTTGGAACACAGTTTTCCCTCGCGCATACAATTTTTTTCTCGCGCATATATTTTTTTTTCTCAGCATATTTTTGTACAACAGAACAGAACAGAGAGGAAAAAGCAGAGGGAGGCAATAGTAACGTTTCAAGGCAAGCGTAATAAGATTTTCAGCGAATGACAGACTGCTATCTCGATTGGACGAAAAGCCTGATTGATTCGTTGGTCTCTTCGCTGTGCCACGATTTTACGCTAACAGCGCGAGCACAAATAACGTAACACAAAAACGTTATCCCACGTAAACACAATCGCCGACGTGCGGAAGCACCGAAAGGTAGCAATAATTTCTCAATCCAATTAACCCACTCAAACAATTAATGCACTTGCAGTTCATTCGCCGTATAATTGACCTGGCGAGATATATACACAACATGTATACACGAATATTATCGTTATTTGATTTATTTTCTTATTACTGTAATAATATACATGTTTCACAATCTTTCTATTTTGTAGCTGCAACAACCACTTCGCAGTACTTTGTTTAAATTTTTAAACATTTAGTGAAGAAATAGCGAGATATATTTGTAGTAAAATACAATAGAGACGCGAATTTATGGAAGACGTTTATAAAAATCAGATTGTTCTTTTTACCTTTTGTTATTCATTTTATTATTTCTTTTATCTTTCGAAATGATTCTCCAATTGAATGAAAAGAATGGGCGCTAGGTTCACGCATTACTTCGATTATCGAATATATATATATATATACACTTGTTTGGGAGGACAGTTACTTACCCGTCGACGAATCGTCGTACCATTACATCACGTGTACAAAATCGACATGTGCGTTAAAACGAGAGCAAAAAGTAACGAGTAAGATACGAATAGCGAACAACAACAATTATCGGTGCATCGAAACGACAATGAAAAATATAATAAAATGTTGTCGTATTGTGTCACGAGATTCTCTTTGTATCGAGTTTCACGGTGTATTAACGATGATTCTGCGGTACACGCAATCGCACGTGCACGTGTATCTTTTTTCCTCTATTTGCTTTTTCGTCACGCTATCTCTCCGCTTGTGTCCGCGAATTGTTTGTTAGAGGTATTACCTATTGTTACGACTATTATCTGTTTTATGCTCCTCTCGGTGCGGTTAAATGATCGAGCAAGGGAGAACAGCTGATTCTAATTAACGATTATTATTACCGTGAGAGAGAAAGATAGACGGAAGGATTGGAGACTTTCTTGTAGAGTGGAAATTTCGGGGTATCACGGGATATATTGAGTAGAGCCGTGGGGACATTTATTAGATGTTCAGCAACGGAAAGCGAAACATAATCTAATCATTTGAGAGCCCAGTTCGATAAAATTCCCCGCAGTGGTGGACTGAGACATTTACAACGATGAA